GTGGTGGTGCTCCACTGGTGTTAGTAGTAGTGGTGGTGGTGCTCCACTGGTGTTAGTAGTGGTGGTGGTGCTCCACTGGTGTTAGTAGTGGTGGTGGTGCTCCACTGGTGTTAGTAGTGGTGGTGGTGCTCCGCTGGTGTTAGTAGTGGTGGTGGTGCTCCACTGGTGTTAGTAGTGGTGGTGGTGCTCCACTGGTGGTGGTGGTGGTGCTCCACTGGTGTTAGTAGTGGTGGTGGTGCTCCACTGGTGTTAGTAGTGGTGGTGGTGCTCCACTGGTGTTAGTAGTGGTGGTGGTGCTCCACTGGTGTTAGTAGTGGTGGTGCTAGTTAGTGGTGGTGGTGCTCCACTGGTGTTAGTAGTGGTGGTGGTGCTCCACTGGTGTTAGTAGTAGGTGGTGGTGCTCCACTGGTGTTAGTAGTAGTGGTGGTGCTCCACTGGTGTTAGTAGTGGTGGTGGTGCTCCACTGGTGTTAGTAGTGGTGGTGTGCTCCACTGGTGTTAGTAGTGGTGGTGGTGCTCCACTGGTGTTAGTAGTGGTGGTGGTGTGTTAGTAGTGGTGGTGGTGCTCCACTGGTGTTAGTAGTGGTGGTGGTGCTCCACTGGTGTTAGTAGTGGTGGTGGTGCTCCACTAGTAGTGGTGGTGCTCCGCTGGTGTTAGTAGTAGTGGTGGTGCTCCACTGGTGTTAGTAGTGGTGGTGGTGCTCCACTGGTGTTAGTAGTGGTGGTGGTGCTCCACTGGTGTTAGTAGTGGTGGTGGTGCTCCACTGGTGTTAGTAGTGGTGGTGGTGCTCCTCTGGTGTTAGTAGTGGTGGTGGTGCTCTGGTGTTAGTAGTACTGGTGTTAGTAGTGGTGGTGGTGCTCCACTGGTGTTAGTAGTGGTGGTGGTGCTCCACTGGTGTTAGTACTAGTGGTGGTGCTCCACTGGTGTTAGTACTAGTGGTGGTGCTCCGCTGGTGTTAGTAGTGGTGGTGGTGCTCCACTGGTGCTCCACTGGTGTTAGTAGTGGTGGTGGTGGTGGTGCTCCTGGTGTTAGTAGTGGTGGTGGTGCTCCGCTGGTGCTAGTACTAGTGGTGGTGCTCCACTGGTGTTAGTAGTGGTGGTGGTGCTCCACTGGTGTTAGTAGTGGTGGTGGTGCTCCACTGGTGTTAGTAGTGGTGGTGGTGCTCCGCTGGTGTTAGTAGTAGTGGTGGTGGTGCTCCGCTGGTGTTAGTAGTGGTGGTGGTGCTCCACTGGTGTTAGTAGTGGTGGTGGTGCTCCTCTGGTGTTAGTAGTGGTGGTGGTGCTCCACTGGTGTTAGTAGTGGTGGTGGTGCTCCACTGGTGTTAGTAGTAGTGGTGGTGGTGCTCCACTGGTGTTAGTAGTGGTGGTGGTGCTCCACTGGTGTTAGTAGTGGTGGTGGTGCTCCACTGGTGTTAGTAGTGGTGGTGGTGCTCCACTGGTGTTAGTAGTGGTGGTGGTGCTCCACTGGTGTTTAGTAGTGGTGGTGGTGCTCCACTGGTGTAGTAGTGGTGGTGGGTGCTAGTAGGTGGTGGTGCTCCACTGGTGTTAGTAGTGGTGGTGCTCCACTGGTGTTAGTAGTGGTGGTGGTGCTCCACTGGTGTTAGTAGTGGTGGTGGTGCTCCACTGGTGTTAGTAGTGGTGGTGCTCCACTGGTGTTAGTACTAGTGGTGGTGCTCCACTGGTGTAGTAGTAGTGGTGGTGGTGCTCCACTGGTGTTAGTAGCTACTGGTGTTAGGTGGTGGTGCTCCACTGGTGTTAGTACTAGTGGTGGTGCTCCACAGGTGTTAGTGGTGGTGGTGCTCCACTGGTGTTAGTAGTGGTGGTGCTCCACTGGTGTTAGTAGTAGTGGTGGTGCTCCACTGGTGTTAGTAGTGGTGGTGGTGCTCCACTGGTGTAGTAGTACTGGTGTTAGTACTAGTGGTGGTGCTCCACTGGTGTTAGTAGTAGGTGGTGGTGCTCCACTGGTGTTAGTAGTGTGGTGGTGCTCCACTGGTGTAGTGGTGGTGGTGCTCCACTGGTGTTAGTAGTGGTGGTGGTGCTCCACTGGTGTGGTGGTGCTCCACTGGTGTTAGTAGTGGTGGTGGTGCTCCACTGGTGTTAGTAGTAGTGGTGGTGCTCCACTGGTGTTAGTAGTGGTGGTGGTGCTCCACTGGTGTTAGTAGTGGTGGTGGTGCTCCACTGGTGTTAGTAGTGGTGGTGGTGCTCCACTGGTGTTAGTAGTGGTGGTGGTGCTCCACTGGTGTTAGTAGTGGTGGTGGTGCTCCACTGGTGTTAGTAGTGGTGGTGGTGCTCCACTGGTGTTAGTAGTGGTGGTGGTGCTCCACTGGTGTTAGTAGTGGTGGTGCTCCACTGGTGTTAGTAGTGGTGGTGGTGCTCCACTGGTGTTAGTAGTGGTGGTGCTCCACTGGTGTTAGTAGTGGTGGTGGTGCTCCACTGGTGTTAGTAGTGGTGGTGGTGCTCCACTGGTGTTAGTAGTGGTGGTGGTGCTCCTGGTGTTAGTAGTGGTGGTGGTGCTGGTGTTAGTAGTAGTGGTGGTGCTCCACTGGTGTTAGTAGTGGTGGTGGTGCTCCACTGGTGTTAGTAGTAGTGGTGGTGGTGCTCCACTGGTGTTAGTAGTGGTGGTGGTGCTCCACTGGTGTTAGTAGTGGTGGTGGTGCTCCACTGGTGTTAGTAGTGGTGGTGGTGCTCCACTGGTGTTAGTAGTGGTGGTGGTGCTCCACTGGTGTTAGTAGTGGTGGTGGTGCTCCACTGGTGTTAGTAGTGGTGGTGCTCCACTGGTGTTAGTAGTGGTGGTGGTGCTCCACTGGTGTTAGTAGTGGTGGTGCTCCACTGGTGTTAGTAGTGGTGGTGGTGCTCCACTGGTGTTAGTAGTGGTGGTGGTGCTCCACTGGTGTTAGTAGTGGTGGTGGTGCTCCACTGGTGTTAGTAGTGGTGGTGGTGCTCCACTGGTGTTAGTAGTGGTGGTGGTGCTCCACTGGTGTTAGTACTAGTGGTGGTGGTGCTCCACTGGTGTTAGTAGTGGTGGTGGTGCTCCGCTGGTGTTAGTAGTGGTGGTGGTGCTCCACTGGTGTTAGTAGTGGTGGTGGTGCTCCACTGGTGTTAGTAGTGGTGGTGGTGCTCCACTGGTGTTAGTAGTGGTGGTGGTGCTCCACTGGTGTTAGTAGTGGTGGTGCTGCTCCACTGGTGTTAGTAGTAGTGGTGGTGCTCCGCTGGTGTTAGTGGTGGTGGTGGTGCTCCGCTGGTGTTAGTAGTGGTGGTGGTGCTCCACTGGTGTTAGTAGTGGTGGTGGTGCTCCACTGGTGTTAGTAGTGGCGAGTGCTAGTTAGTAGTGGTGGTGGTGCTCCACTGGTGTTAGTAGTGGTGGTGGTGCTCCACTGGTGTTAGTAGTGGTGGTGCTCCAGGCGAGTTAGTAGTGGTGGTGGTGCTCCACTGGTGTTAGTAGTGGTGGTGGTGCTCCACTGGTGTTAGTAGTGGTGGTGGTGCTCCACTGGTGTTAGTAGTGGTGGTGCTCCAGGCGAGTTAGTAGTGGTGGTGGTGCTCCACTGGTGTTAGTAGTGGTGGTGGTGCTCCACTGGTGTTAGTAGTGGTGGTGGTGCTCCACTGGTGTTAGTACTAGTGGTGGTGCTCCACTGGTGTTAGTAGCGGTGGTGGTGCTCCACTGGTGTTAGTAGTGGTGGTGGTGCTCCCATATTTAGAGCCTGTCTGTATCATGTTATGCTGCCTATAATGTTTCGTTTGCAAACTTGCAGATGTTGCTTTTCAATCCTGTGAAACTGGACCTCATCTATACCATTTTTCTGCTGTCTACGAAATAACAAAGTTCAAATCCAACTTAGTTTAACCCCCTCCCCCCCCCCCCCCAGATAACAAGGTGTCTCTAACAATATAACGAGTCTCTCGTTAGTCAGACTATCAACGGACTTGCTAAGGTCTATATAAAGACTTGAAAACCTTTAATCATTCAGCAGCTTGAAATATTAACCTGAAGATAACAACCAGTGCTGTACATGGTTGTTATAACCTGAAGATAACAACCAATCCTGTACATGGACCATGATAGCAAGAAGTCCTGCACATTCTTAAAAGCATGAAGCAGTTACAGAGCTCAAGCTATCTCATACCATTTGGTCTGAAGCCATTAAAAACTGGCACTCACAAATAATTAATTATTAAATATACAAATAATTAAATATAAAAATAATTTAATTAAATATAATGATGGAGAGTATGTCCCAGCTCATGTTCACATAGTTTACCATTGGAATGTTCACTAATGTGGCACTCATTACTTGCCATAGATATCAATATCTCAGCCTAATTCTGGCAATTACAAAGTAACACTGTCATATGGATGTCATGGGATGTCATGTGGATATCATGTGGATGTCATGGGATGTCATGTGGATGTCATGGGATGTCATGTGGATGTCATGGGATGTCATGTGGATGTCATGGGCTATCCCTAAACATTGTTCTCGGTTCTCAAAATATCATAACTATTTATACTCGTGCATTTTGCCCTTTGAGCGTCAATGATTACTGTTATTCCATTCCTAGTTTCCTGAAATGTTACAGCCTTTACATCAAAGATTAGAATACTTAAGTCTAGGTGGGAGCCGGTCGGCCGAGAGGACAGCACGCTGGACTTGTGATCCTGTGGTCCTGGGTTCGATCCCAGGCGCCGGCGAGAAACAATGGGCAAAGTTTCTTTCACCATATGCCCCTGTTACCTAGCAGTAAAATAGGTACCTGGGTGTTAGTCAGCTGTTACGGGCTGCTTCCTGGGGGGTGGAGGCCTGGTCGAGGACCGGGCCGCGGGGACACTAAAGCCCCGAAATCATCTCAAGATAACCTCAAGATAACCAAGATAGCTCAATTTGAAGCTTATCACATGCAGCTTTATTTACATTACGTAGTGATTCATATTTCAAGAGATTGTTCCAATTTTTCTGTATAATGATCATCATTTTTGTAAATACTTGTGTGTTGTTAACATTGCAGGCGAGAAACCGGGCCGGAAGCATCCGGAGCCACGCCCGTCTTACGGTGACCGACCCGGACGCCTTCACACGCATTACCACCCTCGTCGTCGTCGGTGTTCTGATCCTCTTCCTCCTCCTCCTCACCATCACCTTCTGCAGGAAGATCTTCAACGACAGGGTAAATATTCCTATTACCTTGTCGTCCCTCCTGGCTTTACCCTCTGGTACCCGGCGGTGCCCGGGCCGCCAGGTGTTCACGTCACGCCCATGGGCCCCGTTGTTCGTCTGCACACACCTCCCTCCCTGGGGCCAGATTCACGAAAGAACTTACGCAAGCACTTACGAACGTGTACATCTTTCCTCAATCTTTGACGGCTTTGGTTACATTTATTAAACAGTTTACAAGCATGAAAACGTGCCAATCAACTGTTGTTATTGTTATAAACAGCCTCCTCGTGCTTCAGAGCTCATGAACTGTTTAATAATTGTAAACAAAGCCGCCAAAGATTGAGAAAAGCTGTACAGGTTCGTAAGTGCTTGCGTAAGTTCTTTCGTGAATCTAGCTCCTGGTCTCCACGGACCACACTTGGGTCTCTGTTTCTCTCTCTCCCTCCCTTCCATTCTCCCCTCTCTCCCTCCAATTTTTCCTTCCTCTCTCCCATTCTCCTCCCTCTCTCCCTTCCTCTCTCCCTCCCTCCACTCCATTCTCTCTCTCTCCCAGTAGGCAAAAGATGCTCCAATTATCTGGAATAAACATTATCGACGTTCAGTCCACTTTACACAAGACCAATTAACGTTCATCAATCATCTCATACAGAAACAACAGTCTCGAACAACCCCACTTCAGTCCTCGGAACCACAACCACTGACCTTCGGCCGGATGCCTAAACCCCATGAACACGGATAATTAAACTGTCACTCTGAGGCACATAAATTTAAATATGGTTCCTTGATCAGGTGATTAAACACCGTTTGGCTTGGTCTTCAACTGAATGGGCGACCGCATGGGCAGCCTTATCCCGGTTTAAGGAAACATCGATATGCCAAACAGGCCTCTACTCCCAGCAAAAGGTTGCTGGGCAAAATTGTGAGGGGTTTGCAATCGCGCCTTTGGCAGTGAATCATGACCGACAGAACGCTGGAAAACATCCTCCAGGGTGATGAAGACGCTCAGACAACCCTCAGAATTATAAGGAAAAGAATGGGCGAATCAAGGAGTGAAGAAGCACAAAGCTAACTAGTGCCCAAACATCGCAAACTTCACATTAAAGAATTATTCTTACACCAGCTTGGGAGACGGACTGAACCGCAAGACGTGTGTGATGATGTAGGAGACGGCAGCATCCTCTCAACAGAAGAGATCACCCAACATCAACAAAACATTCAAGTATATTTATTTGTTAAAATAATTCGATACACTCACATGTGTACAATAACCGTAGACTAGTTTGTATGATGCAAAAATCCCTATCGTGTAGGGTTACAAGAGTGGTATGTTATCAGCAGCCTCTACTACCAAACACTGGATGCATTATGAAGAGATCAAGAACAAAATTGTGGATAAAGGAGTTACAAAGCTCCAGATACCACATACTGGCAGATCTGAAAGCTCTACTGACTGGACAGGGAGATTATGGTACACAGTTCTTGCTGACAAAGTTTATACAAATCTCACTAATTGAGATATTCGTCACTTGCGGTCAAATGGCACGTGTAGGGACCTGCTGCAAGAAACTGTAGCCCCACCTGATACTGGTAACCCATAAGCCGCGCTGTCTAATGAACGTTGTCCTGCCTTATATACAGAAATCAAATATAAACAAATCGGATTTTCTATACTAGTGCTTCCGGGACTTTGAGACTCTGATTTCTCTCCTATTAATTAATAGCTATTAAGCTTGAATGTTTAAAGCAAAAAAATCTTAACAAGAGAGATGGAGACTCCTAGATCTAGTTCAACTTCATCTTCGTTACATGCTATTTTGGCTGCTATGTCTGTCATTATGATGAGGTATATTTATGTACTCACCTAGTTGTGTTTGCGGGGGTTGAGCTCTGGCTCTTTGGTCCCGCCTCTCAACCGTCAATCAACAGGTGTACAGGTTCCTGAGCCTATCGGGCTCTGTCATATCTACACTTGAAACTGTGTATGGAGTCAGCCTCCACCACATCACTTCCTAAGGCATTCCATTTGTCAACCACTCTGACACTAAAAAAAGTTCTTTCTAATATCTCTGTGGCTCATTTGGGCACTCAATTTCTACCTGTGTCCCCTTGTGCATGTGCCCCTTGTGTTAAATAGCCTGTCTTTATCTACCCTATCAATTCCCTTCAGAATCTTGAATGTGGGGATCATGTCCCCCCTAACTCTTCTGTCTTCCAGCGAAGTGAGGTTTAATTCCCGTAGTCTCTCTTCGTAGCTCGTACCTCTCAGCTCGGGTACTAGTCTGGTGGCAAACCGTTGAACCTTTTCCAGTTTAGTCTTATCCTTGACTAGATATGGACTCCATGCTGGGGCTGCATACTCCAGGATTGGCCTGACATATGTGGTATACAAAGTTCTAAATGATTCTTTACACAAGCTTCTGAATGCCGTTCGTATGTTGGCCAGCTGGCATATGCCACTGATGTTATCCTCTTGATATGTGCTGCAGGAGACAGGTTTGGCGTGATATCAACCCCCAAGTCTTTTTCTTTCTCTGACTCCTGAAGAATTTCCTCTCCCAGATGATACCTTGTATCTGGCCTCCTGCTCCCTACACCTATCTTCATTACATTACATTTGGTTTGGTTAAACTCTAACAACCGTTTGTTTGACCATTCCTTCAGCTTGTCTAGGTCTTCTTGAAGCCTCAAACAGTCCTCTTCTGTTTTAATCCTTCTCATAATTTTGGCATCGTCCGCAAACATTGAGAGAAATGAATCTATACCCTCCGGGAGATCATTTACATATATCAGAAACAAGATGGGACCTAGTACAGCGCCCTGTGGGACTCCACTGGTGACTTCACGCCAATCGGAGGTCTCACCCCTCACCGTAACTCTCTGCTTCCTATTGCTTAGGTACTCCCTTATCCACTGGAGCACCTTACCAGCTACACCTGCCTGTCTCTCCAGCTTATGTACCAGCCTCTTATTCGGTACTGTGTCAAAGGCTTTCCGACAATCCAAGAAAATGCAGTCCACCCAGCCCTCTCTTTCTTGCTTAATCTTTGTCACCTGATCGTAGAATTCTATCAAGCCTGTAAGGCAAGATTTACCCTCCCTGAACCCATGTTGGCAATTTGTCACGAAGTCCCGTCTCTCCAGATGTGTTACCAAGTTTTTTCTCACGATCTTCTCCATCACCTTGCATGGTATAGAAGTCAAGGACACTGGCCTGTAGTTCAGGGCCTCTTGCCTGTCGCCCTTTTTGTATATTGGGACCACGTTCGCCGTCTTCCATATTTCTGGTAGGTCTCCCGTCTCCAGTGACTTACTATACACTATGGAGAGTGACAAGCAAAGTGCCTCTGCACACTCTTTCAGTATCCATGGTGAGATCCCGTCTGGACCAACAGGCTTTCTAACATCCAGATCCAGCAGGTGTCTCTTGACCTCCTCTCTCGTAATTTCGAACTCTTCCAAGGTCGCCTGGTTTACCTCCCTTTCTCCTAGCACAGTGACCTCACCTTGTTCTATTGTGAAGACCTCTTGGAACCTCTTGTTGAGTTCTTCACACACCTCTGTCTTTCTCTGTGTACTTGTCCTCGCCTGTTCTAAGTTTCAATACCTGTTCTTTCACTGTTGTTTTCCTTCTGATGTGACTGTGGAGTAGCTTTGGTTCGGTCTTGGCTTTGTTTGCTGTATCATTTTCAAAACTTTTCTCTGCTTCTCTTCTCACCCTGACGTACTCATTCCTGGTTCTCTGGTATCTCTCTCTGCTTTCTGGTGTTCTGTTATTCCGGAAGTTCCTCCACGCCCTTTTGTTCAGTTTCTTCGCTTCCATACATGCCCTATTATACTATGGATTCTTCTGTTGCTTCTCGGATTTTTCCCTTTGGGCCGGGATGAACCTGTTTACTGCCTCCTGACACTTTTGGGTAACATAGTCTATCATACCTTGTACAGACTTATCTCTGAGGTCTGTGTCCCAAGGTATTTCCCTTAGGAAACTTCTCATCTGTTCATAATTCCCCTTTCGGTATTATAGCCTTTTGATTCCTAGTTCTTTTTTGGGGGAGATAATTCCTAGCTCTACCAGGTACTCAAAGTTCAATACACTGTGGTCACTCATTCCCAAGGGCGCTTCCATCTTAACTTCCCTTATATTCCACTCATTTAGGGTAAATATCAAATCAAGCATTGCTGGTTCGTCGTCTCCTCTCATTCTTGTTGGTTCCTTGATGTGCTGGCCATTTCATGTGAAATGGTATTCATACAAAACAGATTCTAAATATTTTATTATTAGAAACGAGTAGGTTATTTATAACCACTTCCATGAGATTCTTGCTGTATATCTTGCAAGTTAAATTTGTAAGTACTTGAAGTACAGATTCTGAATCACAAAGCAGCCAACCATAGCGGGTCACATCAAGAAACTGCATCGCTTTCGTGGACAGAGACGTCGGGCAGTTTGTCTACAGCCAGGATGTGTTGTGTTCCAAGCCATAAAGGAAGAGGACGCACATGGCAGAGGCATCAGTGTGGATGCTAATTCCCAAGAGACTTCACCTGCAAAATGGCTTTTGGACAGAGAAGCACAGGACTATTACAGAGAAATACGAAACGACCCCCTGCCTTACACCAGTGAATAAGAGATATGGCACTCATTCTCATTGTTTACGGAACATAGCGTGAACATTTGGTAAAAACACGGGGTTGAAGCTTGCCCCACTCTCACAACTCCCTCAGCTGTTGGAAATCACAAAGCTGGACTGCCCATTGTGCTAAAATGTTGACACAGGCGGAAAAGTCAAGTGCACGCTGTGACAACACTGGGTCACTGAACACACCGACGACATCCAAAATTAATTACCGATTTAAGAGGGCTACTCCGTGTGCCTCCTAGATATTACCAGGATCCAGGATATAAATGGAGTAACGCCGAAAGCTTGTGTGAAGTTCTCTGCGTCCCTCCCAGACTGGGTGTTGCTTCACAGCACCTCGGATCAGGTTCAAGGTTACAACTTTTAGATACTACAGTGTTTTGTCTGCCATCAGTTTGGCCATAATCGCCATACGTATAGAAACAAATCTGCTGTGTGATATAATCGCTGTGCTCGGGTTGGGGGGTCGAATCCCTCTTCGGTGCTGCTTCCGTAACGGACAGCTCAGGATGCGTGTCCTGTCTTTAGTGCAATCCATCCACAGACAACCCATTCTCAGACCATGCACTTCCAAGTGGTGATCAACCCAAAAGAAGCATTCATAATTTATTATGCTGCTTGTTAAAAAATGATATTTTCTTGAATATTAACTGATATTATTGCATATTAAACTTTGAAAGTGGTTAGACCTAGGATAAGTTAAGGGCAGTCCAATAAAAGCTCAAATAAAGTCAGTTGTAAACAAAAAAAATTGTAAGTCATGTGTGAAGAGTTTTCATTTAGTATTGGCTGGATAAACTAATCCATACAACATTTCATGAAATTATTTAAAACAGATAAATGTTTGAGGAGAGGCTGCTATGATGAGGAAGAAAATATTGTGTCAGGTTCTCTGAGACAGGACATATTCATCAGGCTTCTAGCCTTCAATACTACAACAAACGAGTTCAAACGAAGGATTTTCTCATTGATATATCACGTTAGTATGATTACTCGCTGTATATTGTAAGAGGAACGTCAGAAGGAGAACATTCAGAGATGACAGAGCTAGAGTACATAGGGGGTGACTGTGTGAGACTCTGGCTCGGTTTCAGTAGAAGCCTCAGGAAACCATTGTGTGCTGAGTAGAACTCCAGGTTGCAATTCTTTCAACCATGTCGTGGCTTCGTTGTCTGGGGTGTAAGTCTTGGAATACCTACTGCATAGGTTCCTCATCACAGTTCCTACATATTTCTCATATATGCAAACAAGCCTGAATGGCCCCCAGGACTATATGCAACTGAAAGCTCACACCCCATAAGTGACTCGAACCCATACTGCCAGGAGCAACGCAACTGGTATGTACAGGACGCCTTAATCCGCTTGACCATCACGACCGGACATAAGGAAGTGATAGCCGAAGCTATTTGAACCACTTTCCTGCCGGCACTCGGATGGTATTCTTGGGCATAGCATTTTATCAAATCACCTCATTCTTTGGGCACACATGAGGAATACAAATACGAACAAGCCTGAATGGTCCCCAGGACTATAATTATTCTTATGTCATCCAAGAGTGAGTCTGGTGAGCCAACTAGAGTACCATCGTTCAGAAACCAGATGTTGAGCTCTGGACAGGTTATCGGTGACTTCCTTGATGACTAGGCAGAAAAAAAATGGAGCAAGGGAGTCACCCTGATGGACAACTTCTTGTGATTCAATTTCATGTTCCCCGAATAACAGAGTTAGATTCTTGCTGTAACATGAGTTTACAAACAGGTAGAGGGAAGGAAAAAGGTGATGAACCGCATTGAGTACTGCATCCCTTCTAACCAGATTAAAAGCATTTTTGAAGTCCAATTTTATCAAGGCTTTTTCATCCGTAATGTTGGCAATGTAGGCTCTAGCTGCATGAACCGCTGCCTCACACCCTTGGGGAATGAGTGTCCAAATGCCAAAGTCAAACCTAAGCTCTTTTGGCTTCAGCATGTCTGCTGCTGCCTGACTAACTGTTCTGACAGCAGCCTTAGCGACGAGACGACGGAGTGAATTGCCCACAGCTATCGGTCTGATTCCTCCATCTTTTTTCCTAAGGGCACAGAGGGTAGCGCCAAAAAAAAGAGAGGCCGTATGGTGTCTGGTATGTTGCCAGCTAGACATGTGTTGGCGAATCTAGTTAGTTCCACCAGGAGGCCCTGTGCAATGTCTCCCAGTGCAGGGTTGAGCATTTGTTTGATGTGGTTGGGTCTTAGTCCTGCAAACCCACCTACTGATCCTGATGGGAAGGATAAAGCTGCTTTATGCACCATAGATTCGAGCACACACAGGGGTTCTGCTCTGGTGACACCGACTAGGGGGAACATTGTCATCACGTAGAGCTCTGAGTGGGTGTTTTTGTCTCAGGGCTTGTGCTGTATCAGCGTCTCTGGTAGCAACTGTATCCTCGCCGGGATTTCGGGGATGGTGGTTGAGGTGATGAGCCTGCACGAGAGGCCCACTCTGTGGCACAGCGTGTAAAATTGGGATGATGTACACTTGCCAGCTGATGTAAGTGGGCAGGTAGAATTTCCTTCAAGGTCGTTGGATGCCGATGAGGAGGACAGGAAGGCTGGAATAGCGATTTGCGTTGCTGTTCGAACTCCGAAGCCCCCAAGTCTTACAGGAAGGGAGGCTTGTTTCCACTGTAGGTCAAGAGAGAGGTAAAGGCTTTTTCTAGCATTGATTTCAGTAACCGGTCATACTCAGCTAGTTTTTGGCTACTGTAAGATGGTGAACACCTCAGAAAGTAGGTTAACCTGGGGAGGGACAGACATCTGGTGATGAGGTAGAGTGCATCATGAGCATCAATATCCTCAATCCTCCCATCCATCCTCTTAAGGTCGGCGATTTTCTTATCAAGGACCTCATCGATGGCTTTCAACCCCAGGGGAGCTCCTAGGAGTGTGCTGTCTTCAGGTTTAGTTTTATGGATATTTGGCAGAAGACCCTCTATTCTCTCTACGATGCCCTGGTTGGAACATATTATTTCACATTTAGAAGGGTTTTGGGTGAGGCCTAAAACTGCACCTTGCTTCTGGATTTTTCTGATGTCCTCCAGGAGGGAGTCTTGGGAACCAGCGAGGGTACCATCATCCAAGAACCAGATGTTAAGCTCACTGGACAGGCCCTCTGTGACTTGTTTGATGACTAAGCAGAAAAGGAGAGGAGCAAGGGGGTCACCCTGTTGGACGCCTTCTCGCGAGTCAATTTCATGTTCGCTAAAAAGTAGCTTTAGATCCATACTGTAGCATGAATGTACAAAAGGGTAGAGGGAAGGGATATATATATATATATAATATAATATAATATAATATAAGATAATCGTACCTCTATAATACTAATTGTGTTTATTAGTATATGAATATTGGCTGCTATATTTATGGTGCTAGGCTGGACTGTGTACAAGTTTAGAACCCTGATTTAAACAGAACCAATGTTCAGGTATAGAACTGAATTTTATTAAATCTTATCCTTGTATTAACAATACAAGCTGATGTGTAAAAATTGACTGCAGGTGGATTGTGGATCTTCAATCAACTTCTCCATTCATCCTTAGGAACCCTACCTGCCCATTACCGCCCACAGTCTGTCATTAGTAAAAGAGGAGCTAGGTTTTACGACCCTAGCTAGGGACTTTAGTTGAATTAATTTTGCATACAGCAATTTTTAATTTAGTATAGTACAAGTTCCTAGTAGTTCTCCTTATATATTACTCTTGACAGTTTTTAGCACATTGTTCTCACCATCAAACGCCAAATGCTCGTTATTCACCTACCAATCCCCCTGTTTATGATTGTAAAACACTTTTCACACGATTCATCAACCCGTTCTCAACTCAAGCTCATTACATGCAGTGGTCAACCCGACAGACGCATTCATAAACTTTTATGCGCTGTTAATTCAAATTGAGAATTTTCTCAAATATAAATCAACCCGTCCTCGACTCAAGTCCATTACATCCAGCGGTCGACCCCACAGACGCATTCATAAATTTTAACATGCTGTTCATTCAAAACAAGAATTTTCTCAAATATAAATTAATATTATAATATATTAGCATATTGTGCATATATAGGCATAGTTAGGTTAGGTTAGGTATTTAGGTTCGGTTGGCGATTATTTGCATTTGTAGTACGTGGGTGAAGCATTTATAGCGTTGTGGTTCGAACAAAACTCGTCAGTGAAGCACTTGTTCCGGAAGTGTTCGAACGAAATCAGTTGTGAGTCGTGTGTAAACCGCTTTTCATTCATAAACAGGGGGTTTGGCGGGTGGATGGAATCACTTTTGGATCTTTGTTTGGAGGACGGGCTGTCCAACAAAATTCGGTGTCATGTGAACTCAACCCGTCCTCGACTCAAGTCCATTACATTCAGCGGTCGACCCCACAGACGCATTCATAAATTTTAACATGCTGTTCATTCAAAACGGGAATTTTCTCAAGTATAAATTAATATTATAATATATTAGCATATTGTGTATATATAGGCATAGGATAGGTTAGGTTAGGTGTTTAGGTTCTGTTGGCGATTATTTGTATTTGTAGTACGTGGGTGAAGCATTTATAGCGTTGTGATTCGAACAAAATTCGTCAGTGAAGCACTTGTTCCGGATATGTTCGAACGTCAGCAGTTGTGAGTCGTGTGTAAACCGCTTTTCATTCATAAACAGGGGGTTTGGCGGGTGCATGGAATCACTTTTGGATCTTTGTTTGGAGGACGGGCTGCAGCAACTGATTTCATTCGAACACTTCCGGAACAAGTGCTTCACTGACGACCTGTGTTCGAACCACAACGCTGTAAATGCTTCACCCACGTACTACAAATACAAATAATCGCCAACAGAAACTAAACACCTAACCTAACCTATGCCTATATATGCACAATATGCTAATAAATTATAATAATAATTTATATTTGAGAAAAATTCCTGTTTTGAATGAACAGCATGTTAAAATGATGAATGCGTCTGTGGGGTCGACCGCTGGATGTAATGGACTTGAGTCGAAGGACGGGTTGCTGTATAGACCAACAAGCCGAACTGTTGCCATACAACACCAAGTATGAGGTCCCGCGAGACTCTATTATTTTTGGTAAGATTTTTGCGCACACTTGCAAGGAGTGCAAGTCCCGGGGGCCGGTCGGCCGAGCGGACAGCACGCTGGACTTGTGATCCTGTGGTTTTGAGTTCGATCCCAGGTGCTGGCGAGAAACAATAGGCAGAGTTTCTTTCACCCTATGCCCCTGTTACCTAGCAGTAAAATAGGTACCTGGGTGTTAGTCAGCTGTCACGGGCTGCTTCCTGGGGGTGGAGGCCTGGTCAAGGACCGGGCCGCGGGGACACTAAAGCCCCAAAATCAACTCAAGATAACTTGAGGTGTTTCACTGATGGTTAATATGGCTTCTAATGAATATATTGAGATAGAAATGTCACAGCAACAAATAATTCACAATATTTATGTATAAAATTAGCTCCTTTCTGTACCACACATGACTGAATATATAATTGTTGCTGTATATTAACTGTTGAGCTTAATTGTGTGACTGTGGATACAGACAAACTGCTGGGCGCAGGAGCCTTCGGGAGAGTGTACCGCGCTACAGCCATCAACCTGACCCCTGGCCAGGCCCGGACCACAGTAGCTGTCAAGATGATGAAGTCTCGCACAGACAGCGCACAGCTTAAAGCCCTGCGCTCAGAAGTCAAGATTATGATCCACATTGGCCGCCATATTAACATTGTCAACCTGCTGGGGGCCTGCTCCAAGGACCTGGCTTCAAAAGGTAATTTGTGTTTTTTTTAAGGTTTGAGATATATATACGATTTAAAATATATTCGAAGGGCGTAGAGTCATATGGAACAACGTAGATACACACACACATGATCTGCTTTCTAATGGTTAAAATTGTATATTCTGTATTTATTCTATAGTAGACGAGCTCCCCAACTATGCTCTCGTCTCTCCCACTCTCTTCCTTTATCGATCCCGTCTTCTCTCCTCTCTTTCCATCTCTTCTCTCCTATCATCTTCGCCCCCTCATTTCCCTCTCTTACCCCTCTCCAATTCTCTCCACATTTCTCATCCCTATTTCCCCACTGTCTGTCCACTCCTCTAAAAGTCCCCCTTCTCCTCCATCCTACCCCCCTCTCCCAAAAAATGTTCCCCCCTCTCCCACAACCTCACCCCCTCTTTTCCACTTTCCTATTCTCTTCTCCCCCTCTCCTATCTTCTATCTAATCTTTTTTTCCCCTATCCTCCATTTCCATCCTCTCTCACATCTAATTCCTCTCCTCTCTTATCCCCTATCCACCTCTTCTTTTTTCTCCCCCCTCTCCCTCCTCACCCCCTCTCTCCTTCCCTTTCTCCAACCCCAACACCCCGCCCTCACCCCCTCTCACCTTCCGTCTAAAGGAGACATGCTCAAGATGTTAAGGATACCTCTAAAGTTTATTACAGACCCGGATGGTAATTAGGTTAATTACTTAGATTGAAGGTTACATCCTTCGTGGGGGCAAGTGTACATGTATACAACGCTTGACTGCTGTAGAGGGTTCTCCGTCGGCTTCGGCCTGTTTTTGATAAGGAGTTCGGTAGTCTTCTTGGTTTTGTAGAATATGATCAGGTTTATGTTTTGGTTAGGAATAGTGCATTTTTCTCCTTTACGGATTATTTCCTTTATAATTCTTTCTTCTTTTTTATGTTCACTGTGCATAGTTGATTTGTAATATAATTTTATCGGAGGTGTTGTGGTTTCCGTTCTAGGTTCAAGATTGTACCATCGGTCCAGGTGTCTTCTTATGGCGGTGTTTATTTCTGTGTTGCTATATCCGTTGTTCACCAATACCTGAGTTATTCTTTCAAACTCTCTATTCAAATTGCTCCATTCGGAGCAGTGGGTAAGTGCTCGACGCATATAAGCATTGAGAACACTGGCTTTGTATCTTTGGGGGCACTCACTCTTACCGTTCAGGCATAATCCTATGTTGGTGGGTTTTGTATATACGTTGGTGCTTAACGAGGTTCCTGTTTTTGTTATTAGTACATTCAAGAATGGCAGACTGTTATTTTCACTATATTCATGTTATTGATAACTAGCAGTACCCGGCCACGCGTTGCTGTGGCTCAGCAACGATTGTGCGTTGCTCAGCTAAAGCAACCTTCCCTGTCCCCCAGTCCTCCCCATCATTCCCCACTCCACCATCCCCTCGTCCTTCCCCACCATAACCCCCCCCCCCCTTGTCCCCTCGTCATCCCCACCATTCCCCACTCCCTCGTCCGATGCCGTCCCAAATGGTCTGATGTTCCCATCAGAAAATTGTGAACATCAAGTGATCTGATGTTACCATCACTGAAATATAAGAAAAAGTTAAAAATTAAATGAAAATATGAAAAAAATAAAAAATAAACTATACTCACGAAATGAATGTTATGGTAAATAACTCAGCTCAATTCCAACGCAATTCACACAAAATAATTAAATCAAAATGAAAATAAATCAAAATCTAGGAAAATTCAATTTTCCTAGATCAGAAACATTGAAAACATTGCAATCAGAAACATTGAAATGGAATTGTAACATATTTAGTATAGCGTGCATGTTGCTATTATGTGCAACAGATGGCTCTGTTTTTCAAAAACGCATGTTTTTATCTGAAACAGAGGTGGCATCTATATAGTAGGTATATAAAAAGACGCGCCTATTCGAATGCAACGTTGTGTCAAAATTTCAAAGCAATCAGTGAAGAACTTTTGGAGATTACAGCGTGTAACAGATGGCGCTGTTTTAAAAAAAAAAAAAAAAACATTTTTTTCCTATCATGGGTGAGGCATGTATATAGTAGATATATAAAAAGACGGGCCTATTTGAATGCAATGTTGTGTCAAAATTTCAAAGCAGTCTGTAAAAAGGTTTCGAAGATTTCCCTCACGTGAAAAACACAGTTTTCAGAAAAAGCTTGGATTTTTATCGTCATAGACGTGACATCTATATAATATGTATATAAAAACCTGCTCGGATGCGAATGGAACGTTGTGTGAAAATTTCAAAGCAATTGGTGAAGAACTTTCGGAGATTAGCGATTATGTACAAACGAACATTTCCATATATATTTATATAGATTGGGAGGTAGACTTTAGTTTGTTAGTAATTATATTAGATCCAATCATAGAGAATACTTTATATTCATTCTAATGCTAGACTGGTGTTTCAAGAAGACTTCACAATATTATTAGCTGGTGAATTTAATGACTACATGGCAATGATTCCTTGTTTTCTCCCTAGGAAAATTCCACTGGAGCTTCGTTTTCTATGAATAATTAAAGCTACTTCAGGGCTAATTTGTTAGTACAAAACAACAGCAGTATTATCTGTCTATTGTATTAGATGTTAGTAAATGGTGGTGGTTTTTCCGACATAATTCCTGGGGGGTGGACACAGATTGAAGTCCAATATTTAGAACTGACAAACACCGATACTCCTCCGCAGAATTATTAGATTAATTTAATGTTAGTAGTTAGTAAATAGTGTCGGTTTTCCGACACCTGGGCACCCGGAAGCTCCCAAAGCCACGCTCAATGTTGCCTTACAAAACATTGTATGTTATTGTTTTTTGTGGTCGAAGTTTAATTAAAGTAGTAAGTATTATACTTTAAAAAATCCCACACTTCAAGTCATAGTAAACTTGTAATCTTTCTCTCAGGTGAACTACTTCTCCTTGTGGAGTACTGCAAGTATGGCAACATTCTTGACTACATGCATCGCCATCGTAAAGAGTTTGTCAACCAAATTAATGATGAAGATAAGATAGACCCAACTGTTACTGATCTATGGCTGAGACAACGCAGCGGCTCCGGATCACGGTACACAACATTGTTATGGTCTACAAGGTTGTAACAACCTCAACTTACTGGTGTCCCCTTGTTACCATTCCTATTGCTCTAGTACACCAACTTGTACTCAACATACAATTATTGCTTCACGTAGTTTTTTTCTTTCTCTTATTTGACCGTTTGTGCATGAATCATGTATAATCAGCAACGTGTAGACGATATCATTCATCTCCTGCAACTCACAGGGGCAAGACGTCTCGTGGTATCAAGTATGCACATCTTAGCTTCAACCAAGACAATGTCCTGTACACCAATGGCCAGACATCTGACCCAGACAACCCCAGCCAGGCGCTGTGGGCCGCCCCAGCCTCCCCGCCTCACACGCCAGGCATCTGTGAAGATTCAATGGGAACCTTCCGCAGTCGGACCATTTCCAACTCCTCTAACCACCACATTACCTCTGACATGACCACCCTCACCTTTGGTAGGTCTGAGGAGTGTAGAGACCAGCAGTGTTGTGGTATCTATATAGATATAATTTCCATCACAGCTTTACTTACTCCTAAATATCACTCATCTGTTTTTACCATGTAAATGTGTTGCGTTATTAAATGAAAAATGCATATGTATCTAAATATTTAGAACCCCTGTCTGCAACCTGGTAGACAGAACCCCCTTGTTCACTCTCTGGTAGAGAGAGGTAGAGCCCTTGTTCACTCTCTGGTAGAGAGAGGTAGAGCCTTTGTCTACTCTCTGGTAGAGAGAGGTAGAGCCCTTGTCTACTCTCTGGTAGAGAGAGGTAGAGCCCTTGTCTACTCCTTGGTAGAGAGAGAGGTAGAGCCCTTGTCTACTCTGGTAGAGAGAGAGGTAGAGCCCTTGTCTACTCCTTGGTAGAGAGAGAGGTAGAGCCCTTGTTCACTCTCTGGTAGACAGGTAGAGCCCTTGTCTACTCTCTGGTAGAGAGAGGTAGAGCCCTTGTTCACTCTCTGGTAGAGAGAGGTAGAGCCCTTGTTCACTCTCTGGTAGAGAGAGGTAGAGCCCTTGTTCACTCTCTGGTAGAGAGAGGTAGAGCCCTTGTTCACTCTCTGGTAGAGAGAGGTAGAGCCCTTGTTCACTCTCTGGTAGAGAGAGGTAGAGCCCTTGTTCACTCTCTGGTAGAGAGAGGTAGAGCCCTTGTTCACTCTCTGGTAGAGAGAGGTAGAGCCCTTGTCTACTCTCTGGTAGAGAGAGGTAGAGCCTTTGTCTACTCTCTGGTAGAGAGAGGTAGAGCCCTTGTTCACTCTCTGGTAGAGAGAGGTAGAGCCCTTGTCTACTCTCTGGTAGAGAGAGGTAGAGCCCTTGTTCACTCTCTGGTAGAGAGAGGTAGAGCCCTTGTTCACTCTCTGGTAGAGAGAGGTAGAGCCCTTGTCTACTCTCTGGTAGAGAGAGGTAGAGCCCTTGTTCACTCTCTGGTAGAGAGAGGTAGAGCCCTTGTTCACTCTCTGGTAGAGAGAGGTAGAGCCCTTGTTCACTCTCTGGTAGAGAGAGGTAGAGCCCTTGTTCACTCTCTGGTAGAGAGAGGTAGAGCCCTTGTTCACTCTCTGGTAGAGAGAGGTAGAGCCCTTGTTCACTCTCTGGTAGAGAGAGGTAGAGCCCTTGTCTACTCTCTGGTAGAGAGAGGTAGAGCCCTTGTCTACTCTCTGGTAGAGAGAGGTAGAGCCCTTGTTCACTCTCTGGTAGAGAGAGGTAGAGCCCTTGTTCACTCTCTGGTAGAGAGAGGTAGAGCCCTTGTTCACTCTCTGGTAGAGAGAGGTAGAGCCCTTGTCTACTCTCTGGTAGAGAGAGGTAGAGCCCTTGTCTACTCTCTGGTAGAGAGAGGTAGAGCCCTTGTTCACTCCCTGGTAGAGAGAGAGGTAGAGCCCTTGTTCACTCTCTGGTAGAGAGAGGTAGAGCCCTTGTTCACTCTCTGGTAGAGAGAGGTAGAGCCCTTGTTCACTCACTGGTGGAGAGAGGTAGAGCCCTTGTTCACTCTCTGGTAGAGAGAGGTAGAGCCCTTGTCTACTCTCTGGTAGAGAGAGGTAGAGCCCTTGTTCAATCCCTGGTAGAGAGAGAGGTAGAGCCCTTGTTCACTCTCTGGTAGAGAGAGGTAGAGCCCTTGTTCACTCTCTGGTAGAGAGAGGTAGAGCCCTTGTCTACTCTCTGGTAGAGAGAGGTAGAGCCCTTGTCTACTCCCTGGTAGAGAGAGGTAGAGCCCTTGTTCACTCTCTGGTAGAGAGAGGTAGAGCCCTTGTCTACTCTCTGGTAGAGAGAGGTAGAGCCCTTGTCTACTCCCTGGTAGAGAGAGGTAGAGCCCTTGTTCACTCTCTGGTAGAGAGAGGTAGAGCCCTTGTCTACTCTCTGGTAGAGAGAGGTAGAGCCCTTGTCTACTCCCTGGTAGAGAGAGAGGTAGAGCCCTTGTTCACTCACTGGTGGAGAGAGATGAATTAAAAATGGACAGACTTGATGCTACATTAAACTTATAAAATGCTTATATATCATCAGTCTTGAAGAGTAACAAGATAACAAGACTAAGTTGGTGTTATAGTTGGTACAGAGAGCAGCAGCGGCGCCTCAGACGGCTATGTTGGCTCCCGCTCCCTTGCCCCCCACGCTGCTGCCTTCTGTTCCCAAGATCTGCTCAGTTGGACCTTCCAGGTCGCCAGGGGAATGGAGTACCTTGCCTTTAAAAAGGTAATGATAGTTTTATTATATTTGTGTATATGAAATAAATCTTTCATTTTTATATGCCAGTGTTTGTATGTTTATTTCAGTAATAATTATGTCATGTAACCTGTTTTATGATAGTTCAGGTAAGTTATGATTCTCTAATACTTTGAATGTTAATGTGTTGATCCGTATCTTGCTTTCAATTACCTACTGGTTGGTTTGCAGAATTTGGTGATTCTGACCTCAGCACTAGTTCTGAGAACCTCCAGTGACACACATGTACACACACATTAACATGTATGAGGTTAAGAGGCATCTGTTGGATCTGGACGTAAGGCTGTTGGTCCGGATGGAATTTCCCCATGAGTATTGAAAGAATGTGCAGAGGCACTTTGCTTGCCACTCTCCATAGTGTATAGAAGGTCATTAGAGATGGGAGACCTAATAGAAATATGGAAGACGGCTAATGTAGTCCCAATATGCAAAAAGTGTGACAGACAAGAGGCACTGAACTACAGGCCAGTGTCCTTAACTTGTATACCATGCACGGTGATGGAGAAGATCGTGAGAAAAACCTAGTAACACATCTGGAGAGAAGGAACTTCGTGACAACCCATCAACATGGGTTCAGGGAGGGTAAATCTTGCACCACAGGTTTAATATAACTCTATGATCAGGTGACAAACATTAAGCAAGAAAGAGAAGGTTGGGCAGACTGCATTTTCTTGGACTGTCGGAAAGCCTTCGTCATAGTACCCCATAAGAGGCTGATGCATAAGCTGGAAAAAACAGGCAGGAGTAACTGGTAGGGCGCTCCAGTGGATAAGGGAGTACCTAAACAACAGGAAGCAGAGAGTTACAGTGAGGGGTGAGACCTCAGACTGGCGTGAAGTCACCAGTGGAGTCCCACAGGGCTCTGTACTCGGACCTATCCTGTTTATCATATACGTAAACGATCTCCCTGAGGGTATAGACTCATTCCTCTCATTGTTTGCTGATGATGCCAAAATTATGAGAAGTATTAAGACGCTTGAGGCTTCAAGAAGACTCGGACAAACTGAAGGAATGGTCCAACAAATGGTTGTTAGAGTTTAGCCCCAGCAAATGTAATGCAATGAAGTTAGGTGTTGGGAGCAGGCGGCCAAATACAAGGAACCATTTGGGAGAGAAAATTCTTCTAGAATCAGAAAGAGAGAAAGACCTGGGGGTTGATATCACGCCAGACCTGTCCACTGAAGCCCATATCAAAAGGATAACATCAGCAGCATATGCCAGGTTGGCCAACATAAGAACGGCATTTAGGAACTTGTGTAAGGAATCATTCAGAACTTTGCATGTAACGTATGTCAGACTAATCCTGGAGTATGCAGCTCCAGCATGGAGTCCATATCTCGTCAAGCATAAGACTAAACTGGAGAAGGTTGAGAGGTTTGCCACCAGACTAGTACCCGGACTAAGGGGCATGATCTATGAGGAGAGACTACAAGAATATAACCTCAAGTCGATTGAAAACAGAAAAGTTAGGGGGGGACATGATCACCACATACAAGAGTCTGAAAAGAATTGATAGGGTGGAGAAAGAGTTTATTTAACACAAGGGGACACAGGTGGAAATTGAGTGCCCAAATGAGCCATAGAGACGTTAGAATTTTTCTCGTATCACAGTAGTTTATAAATGGAATACATTTGGAAGAGATGTGGTGGAGGCTGACTTCATAAACAGTTTCAAGTGTAGATATGATAGAGCCCAATAGGCTCAGGAACCTATACACAAGTTGATTGACAGTTGAGAGGCGGGACCAAAGAGCCGAAGCTCAACCCCTGGAAGCTCAACCCCTGTACCCCACGTGAGTACAACCAGGTGAGTACACACACATACACACATATATAGTCTCTTGTGAGGGAGAACATTTGGCTTAGATTAGTGCTCCCAAAACAAACGTGACACCACCACCACAGTGAACAAGACACACCACCACCACAGTGAACAAGACACACCACCGCCACAGTGAACAAGACACACCACCACCACAGTGAACAAGACACACCACCACCACAGTGAACAAGACACACACCACCACCACAGTGAACAAGACACACCACCACCACAGTGAACAAGACACACCACCGCCACAGTGAACAAGACACACCACCGCCACAGTGAACAAGACACACCACCACCACAGTGAACAAGACACACCACCACCACAGTGAACAAGACACACCACCACCACAGTGAACAAGACACACCGCCACAGTGAACAAGACACACCACCACCACAGTGAACAAGACACACCGCCACAGTGAACAAGACACACCACCGCCACAGTGAACAAGACACACCACCGCCACAGTGAACAAGACACACCACCGCCACAGTGAACAAGACACACCACCACCACAGTGAACAAGACACACCACCACCACAGTGAACAAGACACACACCACCACCACAGTGAACAAGACACACCACCACCACAGTGAACAAGACACACCACCGCCACAGTGAACAAGACACACCACCGCCACAGTGAACAAGACACACCACCACCACAGTGAACAAGACACACCACCACCACAGTGAACAAGACACACCACCACCACAGTGAACAAGACACACCGCCACAGTGAACAAGACACACCACCACCACAGTGAACAAGACACACCACCACCACAGTGAACAAGACACACCGCCACAGTGAACAAGACACACCACCGCCACAGTGAACAAGACACACCACCGCCACAGTGAACAAGACACACCGCCACAGTGAACAAGACACACCACCACCACAGTGAACAAGACACACCACCACCACAGTGAACAAGACACACCGCCACAGTGAACAAGACACACCACCGCCACAGTGAACAAGACACACCACCGCCACAGTGAACAAGACACACCACCACCACAGTGAACAAGACACACCACCACCACAGTGAACAAGACACACCACCACCACAGTGAACAAGACACACCACCACCACAGTGAACAAGACACACCGCCACAGTGAACAAGACACACCACCACCACAGTGAACAAGACACACCACCACCACAGTGAACAAGACACACCGCCACAGTGAACAAGACACACCACCGCCACAGTGAACAAGACACACCACCGCCACAGTGAACAAGACACACCACCACCACAGTGAACAAGACACACCACCACCACAGTGAACAAGACACACCACCACCACAGTGAACAAGACACACCACCACCACAGTGAACAAGACACACCACCACCACAGTGAACAAGACACACCACCACCACAGTGAACAAGACACACCACCACCACAGTGAACAAGACACACCACCACCACAGTGAACAAGACACACCACCACCACAGTGAACAAGACACACCACCACCACAGTGAACAAGACACACACCACCACCACAGTGAACAAGACACACCACCACCACAGTGAACAAGACACACCACCACCACAGTGAACAAGACACACCACCACCACAGTGAACAAGACACACCACCACCACAGTGAACAAGACACACCACCACCACAGTGAACAAGACACACCACCACCACAGTGAACAAGACACACCACCACCACAGTGAACAAGACACCACCACCACAGTGAACAAGACACACCACCACCACAGTGAACAAGACACACCACCACCACAGTGAACAAGACACACCACCACCACAGTGAACAAGACACACCACCACCACAGTGAACAAGACACACCACCACCACAGTGAACAAGATACACCACCACCACAGTGAACAAGACACACCACCACCACAGTGAACAAGACACACCACCACCACAGTGAACAAGACACACCACCACCACAGTGAACAAGACACACCACCACCACAGTGAACAAGACACACCACCACCACAGTGAACAAGACACACCACCACCACAGTGAACAAGACACACCACCACCACAGTAACAAGACACACACCACAGTGAACAAGACACACACCACCGCCACAGTGAACAAGACACACCACCACCACAGTGAACAAGACACACCACCGCCACAGTGAACAAGACACACCACCGCCACAGTGAACAAGACACACCACCGCCACAGTGAACAAGACACACCACCACCACAGTGAACAAGACACACCACCACCACAGTGAACAAGATACACCACCACCACAGTGAACAAGACACACCACCACCACAGTGAACAAGACACACCACCACCACAGTGAACAAGACACACACCACCACCACAGTGAACAAGACACACCACCACCACAGTGAACAAGACACACCACCACCACAGTGAACAAGACACACCACCACCACAGTGAACAAGATACACCACCACCACAGTGAACAAGACACACCACCACCACAGTGAACAAGACACACACCACCACCACAGTGAACAAGACACACCACCACCACAGTGAACAAGACACACCACCGCCACAGTGAACAAGACACACCACCACCACAGTGAACAAGACACACCACCGCCACAGTGAACAAGACACACCACCACCACAGTGAACAAGACACACCACCACCACAGTGAACAAGACACACCACCGCCACAGTGAACAAGACACACCACCGCCACAGTGAACAAGACACACCACCACCACAGTGAACAAGACACACCACCGCCACAGTGAACAAGACACACCACCACCACAGTGAACAAGACACACCACCACCACAGTGAACAAGACACACCACCACCACAGTGAACAAGACACACCACCACCACAGTGAACAAGACACACCACCACAGTGAACAAGACACACCACCACCACAGTGAACAAGACACACTACCACCACAGTGAACAAGACACACACCACAGTGAACAAGACACACACCACCGCCACAGTGAACAAGACACACCACCGCCACAGTGAACAAGACACACCACCACCACAGTAACAAGACACACACCACAGTGAACAAGACACACGCCACCGCCACAGTGAACAAGACACACCACCGCCACAGTGAACAAGACACACCACCGCCACAGTGAACAAGACACACCACCACCACAGTGAACAAGACACACACCACCACCACAGTGAACAAGACACACACCACCGCCACAGTGAACAAGACACACCACCACCACAGTGAACAAGACACACCACCACCACAGTGAACAAGACACACACCACCGCCACAGTGAACAAGACACACCACCACCACAGTGAACAAGACACACCACCGCCACAGTGAACAAGACACACCACCGCCACAGTGAACAAGACACACCACCGCCACAGTGAACAAGACACACCACCGCCACAGTGAACAAGACACACCACCACCACAGTGAACAAGACACACCACCGCCACAGTGAACAAGACACACCACCGCCACAGTGAACAAGACACACCACCGCCACAGTGAACAAGACACACCACCGCCACAGTGAACAAGACACACCACCGCCACAGTGAACAAGACACACCACCGCCACAGTGAACAAGACACACCACCACAGTGAACAAGACACACCGCCACAGTGAACGAGACACACCGCCACAGTGAACGAGACACACCACCACAGTGAACGAGACACACCACCACCACAGTGAACTAGACACACCACCACAGTGAACAAGACACACCACCACAGTGAACAAGACACACCACCGCCACAGTGAACAAGACACACCGCCACAGTGAACAAGACACACCACCGCCACAGTGAACAAGACACACCGCCACAGTGAACAAGACACACCACCACCACAGTGAACGCCAAGTGATTGCATTTTTATATAACTAATGTTTACTGTAGTTAGCCCTATACATCCCAGACTATATGCTCGCATTCTAGTCGTTCTTGTCGCTATATTTCGTGGTGGGTCGTGGCTCTTCTCCCCCCGTGCTCTAGCGATGAATTTACAGTTTACAATGATCCTAGTTTGGGGAAGGATTTCAATATGATAAAGATTCTATGGTTGAATGAGTAATGGTATAAAGTATCAACAGAAAATTAAATCTTTACTTTGGCTACAGAAAACTGGGAATCTGAGGAGGTGACTGAGATAAACAGCTTCAAGCTGACACACTTCACATAAAAATGCGTGCTTCCATACGCCCCTTTCCCTGTGTACTCGCTCCCTGCTCGCATATGCCCATCTCCATCTCATCTCTCTCCTTGCTCACACACACGTCATTCCCCAATCACTGTAACCCAAAGGTTACAGAATGCAAATCTGGCCTCTGAGCTGTATCTGTAGCCTATGTTTACCCACAAAACGTTCTCGCACTTTCGTATAGTCAATATTGACTTTGTAATTAAAATTATTACTTAACCTATACCTATAATAGGTTAAGTAATAATTGTAATTACGAAGCAATAAGATGCTTATCTTAACATACTAAGAAGGTTAGGTAAGGTCGGTGTTTTCTATGAAGCTTTTCAAGGTAAACTAAAATATTCACAATAAATTAGTATGTCACATATACACGTATTTAATTAGTCAATATTGACTATACGTAAGTGCGAGAACGGGTTGCCTGATAACATCACCATTAATCCTGCAAAGTCTATCCTGCTATCCCCAAACATTTGGCCACTACCCATGGGGGCAGACAGACACAGACAGACATTCTGTTTTATACATATAGATTGATAGCTGGCCTCTTCACTGATCTATTTATAATATAGATCAGTCTAGTACAGATTTCTAAACTTTAGGATATAATCAGTAATATATAATATGGGTGACTTGTACCAGGAACTAATTTATGGTGTCTTGTGACCAGGTGCTCCATGGTGACTTGGCGGCTCGCAATGTGCTTCTGGCTGCAGATAATATTGTCAAGATCAGTGACTTTGGACTCTCGAAGGATATTTATAAAAATCAAAGTTACAAAAAGAAGAGTAATGTACGTATGTTTATAATTTAGAAACTTTGGAACTTTCCACAAGTTGGAACTTGTAATGCAAAATAACTTAGATGTAAACACAAAGGCTTTTGACTTAAATACAGTTAATATATTAAAATATCAAACAATTCTTAATGCAATCAATTCACTCTACATAATGTATGTGGTAATGTAATATTATTATATACATATCTGATAATAAAGATTATATATTGTGATATATTATATAATGTGTGACTGACCCACCAAAAACACTTATAGTACCCATGAATAAGTAACCCATCAACACCACCCACAGTACCCACGAGTGACTGACCCACCACCACCCACAGTACCCATGAGTGACTGACCCACCACCTACCGTACTCATGACTGACCCACCACCACCCACAGTACCCATGAATGACTGACCCACCACCCACAGTACCCATGATTAACTGACCTACCACCACCCACTGTACCCACGAGTGACTGACCCACAACCACCCACAGTACCCATGAGTGACTGACCCACCACCACCCACAGTACCCCTGAGTGACTGACCCATCACCACCCACAGTACCCATGAGTGACTGACCCTCCACCACCCACAGTACCCATGAGTGACTGACCCTCCACCACCCACAGTACCCATGAGTGACTGACCCACCACCCACAGTACCCATGAGTGACTGACCCACCACCACCCACAGTACCCATGAGTGACTGACCCACCACCACCCACAGTACCCATGAGTGACTGACCCTCCACCACCCACAGTACCCATGAGTGACTGACCCACCACCCACAGTACCCATGAGTGACTGACCCACCACCACCGACAGTACCCATGACTGACTGACCCACCACCCACAGTACCCATGAGTGACTGACCCACCACCACCCACAGTACCCATGAGTGACTGACCCACCACCACCCACAGTACCCATGAGTGACTGACCCACCACCACCCACAGTACCCATGACTGACTGACCCACCACCCACAGTACCCATGAGTGACTGATCCACCACCACCCACAGTACCCATGAATGACTGACCCACCACCCACAGTACCCATGAGTGACTGACCCACCACCCACAGTACCCATGATTAACTGACCCACCACCACCCACAGTACCCATGAGTGACTGACCCACCACCACCCACAGTACCCATGAGTGACTGACCCACCACCACCCACAGTACCCATGATTAACTGACCCACCACCACCCACAGTACCCATGAGTGACTGACCCACCACCCACAGTACCCATGAGTGACTGACCCACCACCCACAGTACCCATGAGTGACTGACCCACCACCCACAGTACCCATGATTAACTGACCCACCACCACCCACAGTACCCATGAGTGACTGACCCACCATCACCACCTACAGTACCCATGAGTGACTGACCCACCACCACCCACAGTACCCATGACTGACTGACCCACCACCCACAGTACCCATGATTAACTGACCCACCACCACCCACAGTACCCATGACTGACTGACCCACCACCCACAGTACCCATGATTAACTGACCCACCACCACCCACTGTACCCACGAGTGACTGACCCACCATCACCACCTACAGTACCCATGAGTGACTGACCCACCACCACCCACAGTACCCATGAGTGACTGACCCACCACCACCCACAGTACCCATGAGTGACTGACCCACCACCACCCACAGTACCCATGAGTGACTGACCCACCACCACCCACAGTACCCATGACTGACTGACCCACAACCACCCACAGTACCCATGAGTGACTGACCCACCACCACCACCCACAGTACCCATAAGTGACTGACCCACCACCACCCACAGTACCTACGAGTGACTGACCCACCACCACCCACAGTACCCATGAGTGACTGACCCACCACCACCCACTGTACCCATGAGTGACAGACCCACCACCACTCACAGTACCCATGAGTGACTGACCCACCACCACCCACTGTACCCATGAGTAACAGACCCACCACCACCCACAGTACCCATGAGTGACTGACCCACCACCACCCACTGTACCCATGAGTGACTGACCCACCACCACCCACAGTACCCATGAGTGACTGACCCACCACCACCCACTGTACCCATGAGTGACTGACCCACCACCACCCACAGTACCCACGAGTGACTGACCCACCACCACCCACAGTACCCATGAGTGACCCACCACCACCACCCACTGTACCCATGAGTGACTGACCCACCACCCACTGTACCCATGAGTGACAGACCCACCACCACCCACAGTACCCATGAGTGACTGACCCACAACCACCCACAGTATCCATGAGTGACTGACCCACCACCACCCACAGTATCCACGAGTGACTGACCCACCACCACCACCCACAGTACCCATGAGTGACTGACCCACCACCACCCACAGTATCCATGAGTGACTGACCCACCCCCCACAGTACCCATGAGTGACTGACCCACCACCACCCACAGTATCCACGAGTGACTGACCCACCACCACCACCCACAGTACCCATGAGTGACTGACCCACCACCACCCACAGTACCCATGAGTGACTGACCCACCCCCCACAGTACCCATGAGTGACTGACCCACCACCACCCACAGTATCCACGAGTGACTGACCCACCACCACCCACAGTACCCATGAGTGACTGACCCACCACCACCCACAGTACCCATGAGTGACCCACCACCACCCACAGTACCCATGAGTGACTGACCCACCACCACCCACAGTATCCACGAGTGACTGACCCACCACCACCCACAGTACCCATGAGTGACCCACCACCACCCACAGTACCCTTGAGTGACTGACCCACCACCACCCACAGTACCCATGAGTGACTGACCCACCATCACCACCTACAGTACCCATGAGTGACTGACCCACCACCACCCACAGTACCCATGAGTGACTGACCCACCACCACCCACAGTACCCATGAGTGACTGACCCACCACCACCCACAGTAACCATGATTAACTGACCCACCACCACCCACAGTACCCATGAGTGACTGACCCACCACCCACAGTACCCATGACTGACTGACCCACCACCCACAGTACCCATGAGTGACTGACCCACCACCACCCACAGTACCCATGAGTGACTGACTCACCACCACCCACAGTACCCATGAGTGACTGACCCACCACCCACAGTACCCATGAGTGACTGACCCACCACCCACAGTACCCATGAGTGACTGACCACCACCCACAGTACCCATGATTAACTGACCCACCACCACCCACAGTACCCATGAGTGACTGACCCACCACCCACAGTACCCATGATTAACTGACCCACCACCACCCACTGTACCCATGAGTGACTGACCCACCCCCCACAGTACCCATGAGTGACTGACCCACCACCACCCACAGTATCCACGAGTGACTGACCCACCACCACCCACAGTTCCCATGAGTGACTGACCCACCACCACCCACAGTACCCATGAGTGACCCACCACCACCCACAGTACCCATGAGTGACTGACCCACCACCACCCACAGTATCCACGAGTGACTGACCCACCACCACCCACAGTACCCATGAGTGACCCACCACCACCCACAGTACCCTTGAGTGACTGACCCACCACCACCCACAGTACCCATGAGTGACTGACCCACCACCCACAGTACCCATGAGTGACTGACCCACCACCCACAGTACCCATGATTAACTGACCCACCACCACCCACAGTACCCATGAGTGACTGACCCACCATCACCACCTACAGTACCCATGAGTGACTGACCCACCACCACCCACAGTACCCATGACTGACTGACCCACCACCCACAGTACCCATGATTAACTGACCCACCACCACCCACTGTACCCATGAGTGACTGACCCACCATCACCACCTACAGTACCCATGAGTGACTGACCCACCACCACCCACAGTACCCATGAGTGACTGACCCACCACCACCCACAGTACCCATGAGTGACTGACCCACCACCACCCACAGTACCCATGACTGACTGACCCACAACCACCCACAGTACCCATGAGTGACTGACCCACCACCACCACCCACAGTACCCATGAGTGACTGACCCACCACCCACAGTACCTACGAGTGACTGACCCACCACCACCCACAGTACCCATGAGTGACTGACCCACCACCACCCACTGTACCCATGAGTGACAGACCCACGACCACCCACAGTACCCATGAGTAACTGACCCACCACCACCCACTGTACCCATGAGTAACAGACCCACCACCACCCACAGTACCCATGAGTGACTGACCCACCACCACCCACTGTACCCATGAGTGACTGACCCACCACCACCACCCACAGTACCCATGAGTGACTGACCCACCACCACCCACTGTACCCATGAGTAACAGACCCACCACCACCCACAGTACCCATGAGTGACTGACCCACCACCACCCACTGTACCCATGAGTGACTGACCCACCACCACCCACAGTACCCATGAGTGACTGACCCACCACCACCCACTGTACCCATGAGTGACTGACCCACCACCACCCACAGTACCCATGAGTGACTGACCCACCACCACCCACTGTACCCATGAGTGACTGACCCACCACCACCACCCACAGTACCCATGACTGACTGACCCACCACCACCCACAGTACCCATAAGTGACCCACCACCACCACCCACTGTACCCATGAGTGACTGACCCACCACCCACAGTACCCATGAGTGACTGACCCACCACCACCCACAGTACCCATGAGTGACTGACCCACCACCACCCACAGTACCCATGAGTGACTGACCCTCCACCTACAGTACCCATGACTGACTGACCCACCACCACCACCCACAGTACCCATGACTGACTGACCCACCACCACCACCCACAGTACCCATGAGTGACTGACCCACCACCACCCACTGTACCCATGAGTGACTGACCCACCACCACCCACAGTACCCATGAGTGACTGACCCACCACCTACAGTACTCATGAGTGACTGACCCACCACCACCCACAGTACCCATGAGTGACTGACCCACCACCTACAGTACCCATGAGTGACTGACCCTCCACCACCCACAGGGACCAGTACCCGTCAAGTGGCTGGCACTGGAGTGCCTGAAGGACGGGGTCTTCTCCATCCAGAGTGACGTCTGGGCTTTCGGGGTGGTCATGTGGGAGATATTCAGCCTGGGACAGAACCCATACCCTGGAGTAGACTTTGACGAGAACTTCATCGTCAAGTTAGAGAAGGGAGTGAGGCTGGACCAGCCGCGGTTCTCCACCTACAGCCTGTGAGTCTTTAAGCTTTATCCTCTTAACTGTTTAGCCACCTTAATAACCTTTTGTTAACTGTTTAGTCTACTGCTGACAGATTTTTAACTAAAGGTGAAGGAAATTAAGACCCAATATATGTAAAAGTGTTTAAAAATCAAATTTTGAGATGTAACCTACATCCTTTCTCAGGGTGCTGTATACAGTGTTCTCAGGGTGCTGTATACAGTGTTCTCAGGGTGCTGTATACTGTGTTCTCAGGGTGGTGTATACTGTGTTCTCAGGGTGCTGTATACTGTGTTCTCAAGGTGCTGTATACTGTGTTCTCAGGGTGCTGTATACAGTGTTCTCAAGGTGCTGTATACTGTGTTCTCATGGTGCTGTATACTGTGTTCTCAGGGTGCTGTATACTGTGTTCTCAGGGTGGTGTATACTGTGTTCTCAGGGTGCTGTATACTGTGTTCTCAGGGTGGTGTATACTGTGTTCTCAAGGTGCTGTATACTGTGTTCTCAGGGTGCTGTATACTGTGTTCTCAGGGTGGTGTATACTGTGTTCTCAGGGTGCTGTATACTGTGTTCTCAGGGTGGTGTATACTGTGTTCTCAGGGTGGTGTATACTGTGTTCTCAAGGTGCTGTATACAGTGTTCTCAGGGTGGTGTATACTGTGTTCTCAGGGTGCTGTATACTGTGTTCTCAGGGTGGTGTATACTGTGTTCTCAAGGTGCTGTATACAGTGTTCTCAGGGTGCTGTATACTGTGTTCTCAGGGTGGTGTATACTGTGTTCTCAAGGTGGTGTATACAGTGTTCTCAGGGTGCTGTATACTGTGTTCTCAGGGTGGTGTATACAGTGTTCTCAGGGTGCTGTATACTGTGTTCTCAGGGTGGTGTATACAGTGTTCTCAGGGTGCTGTATACTGTGTTCTCAGGGTGCTGTATACTGTGTTCTCAGGGTGGTGTATACAGTGTTCTCAGGGTGCTGTATACTGTGTTCTCAGGGTGGTGTATACTGTGTTCTCAGGGTGGTGTATACTGTGTTCTCAGGGTGCTGTATACTGTGTTCTCAATGTGCTGTATACAGTGTTCTCATCGTGCTGTATACAGTGTTCTCAAGGTGCTGTATACAGTGTTCTCAGGGTGCTGTATACTGTGTTCTCAGGGTGGTGTATACTGTGTTCTCAGGGTGCTGTATACAGTGTTCTCAGGGTGGTGTATACTGTGTTCTCAGGGTGCTGTATACAGTGTTCTCAGGGTGGTGTATACTGTGTTCTCGGGATGGTGTATACTGTGTTCTCAGGGTGGTATATACTGTGTTCTCAGGGTGGTGTATACTGTGTTCTCAGGGTGCTCTATACTGTGTTCTCAGGGTGGTGTATACAGTGTTCTCAGGGTGGTGTATACAGTGTTCTCAGGGTGCTGTATACTGTGTTCTCAGGGTGCTGTATACAGTGTTCTCAGAGTAGTGTATACAGTGTTCTCAGGGTGGTGTATACTGTGTTCTCAGGGTGCTGTATACAGTGTTCTCAGGGTGCTGTATACAGTGTTCTCAGGGTGCTGTATACAGTGTTCTCAGGGTGGTGTATACAGTGTTCTCAGGGTGCTGTATACTGTGTTCTCAGGGTGCTGTATACAGTGTTCTCAGGGTAGTGTATACAGTGTTCTCAGGGTGCTCTATTCTGTGTTCTCAGGGTGCTGTATACTGTGTTCTCAGGGTGCTGTATACAGTGTTCTCAGGGTGCTGTATACAGTGTTCTCAGGGTGCTGTATACAGTGTTCTCAGGGTGCTGTATACAGTGTTCTCAGGGTGCTGTATACTGTGTTCTCAGGGTGGTGTATACTGTGTTCTCAGGGTGGTGTATACTGTGTTCTCAGGGTGGTGTATACTGTGTTCTCAGGGTGGTGTATACAGTGTTCTCAGGGTGCTGTATACTGTGTTCTCAGGGTGCTGTATACTGTGTTCTCAGGGTGGTGTATACTGTGTTCTCAGGGTGGTGTATACTGTGTTCTCAGGGTGGTGTATACTGTGTTCTCAGGGTGGTGTATACTGTGTTCTCAGGGTGCTGTATACTGTGTTCTCAGGGTGCTGTATACTGTGTTCTCAGGGTGCTGTATACAGTGTTCTCAGGGTGCTGTATACGGTGTTCTCAGGGTGCTGTATACTGTGTTCTCAGGGTGGTGTATACAGTGTTCTCAGGGTGCTGTATACAGTGTTCTCAGGGTGGTGTATACTGTGTTCTCAGGGTGCTGTATACTGTGTTCTCAGGGTGGTATATACTGTGTTCTTAGGGTGGTGTATACTGTGTTCTCAGGGTGGTATATACTGTGTTCTTAGGGTGGTGTATACTGTGTTCTCAGGGTGCTGTATACAGTGTTCTCAGGGTGGTGTATACTGTGTTCTCAGGGTGGTGTATACTGTGTTCTCAGGGTGCTGTATACAGTGTTCTCAGGGTGGTATATACTGTGTTCTCAGGGTGGTGTATACTGTGTTCTCAGGGTGCTGTATACTGTGTTCTCAGGGTGGTATATACTGTGTTCTCAGGGCGCTGTATACTGTGTTCTCAGGGTGGTATATACTGTGTTCTCAGGGTGGTGTATACTGTGTTCTCAGGGTGCTGTATACTGTGTTCTCAAGGTGCTGTATACTGTGTTCTCAAGGTGCTGTATACAGTGTTCTCAGGGTGCTGTATACTGTGTTCTCAGGGTGCTGCATACAGTGTTCTCAGGGTGGTGTATACTGTGTTCTCAGGGTGGTGTATACTGTGTTCTCAGGGTGCTGTATACAGTGTTCTCAGGGTGGTATATACAGTGTTCTCAGGGTGGTGTATACTGTGTTCTCAAGGTGCTGTATACTGTGTTCTCAAGGTGCTGTATACAGTGTTATCAGGGGTGCTGTATACTGTGTTCTCAGGGTGTTGTATGGTGTGTTCTCAAGGTGCTGTATACAGTGTTCTCAGGGTGCTGTATACTGTGTTCTCAAGATCCTGTATACTGTGTTCTCAAGATGCTGTATACTGTGTTCTCAAGGTGTTGTATACAGTGTTCTCAGGGTGCTGTATACTGTGTTCTCGAGGTGCTGTATACTGTGTTCTCAGGGTGGTGTATACTGTGTTCTCAAGATTCTGTATACTGTGTTCTCAGGGTGGTGTATACTGTGTTCTCAAGATGCTGTATACTGTGTTCTCAGGGTGGTGTATACTGTGTTCTCAGGGTGCTGTATACTGTGTTCTCAAGATGCTGTATACTGTGTTCTCAAGGTGTTGTATACAGTGTTCTCAGGGTGCTGTATACTGTGTTCTCAGGGTGCTGTATACTGTGTTCTCAAGATCCTGTATACTGTGTTCTCAAGATGCTGTATACTGTGTTCTCAAGGTGTTGTATACAGTGTTCTCAGGGTGCTGTATTCTGTGTTCTCGAGGTGCTGTCTACTGTGTTCTCAGGGTGCTGTATACAGTGTTCTCAGGGTGGTGTATACTGTGTTCTCAGGGTGCTGTATACTGTGTTCTCAAGATCCTGTATACTGTGTTCTCAAGATGCTGTATACTGTGTTCTCAAGGTGTTGTATACAGTGTTCTCAGGGTGCTGTATACTGTGTTCTCAAGGTGCTGTATACTGTGTTCTCAAGGTGTTGTATACAGTGTTCTCAGGATGGTGTATACAGTGTTCTCAGGGTGCTGTATACTGTGTTCTCAGGGTGGTGTATACTGTGTTCTCAGGGTGGTGTATACTGTGTTCTCAGGGTGGTGTATACTGTGTTCTCAGGGTGGTGTATACAGTGTTCTCAGGGTGGTGTATACTGTGTTCTCAGGGTGCTGTATACTGTGTTCTCAGGGTGCTGTATACTGTGTTCTCAGGGTGCTGTATACTGTGTTCTCAGGGTGCTGTATACTGTGTTCTCAGGGTGGTGTATACTGTGTTCTCAGGGTGCTGTATACAGTGTTCTCAGGGTGGTGTATACTGTGTTCTCAGCGTGCTGTATACAGTGTTCTCAGGGTGCTGTATACAGTGTTCTCAGGGTGCTGTATACAGTGTTCTCAGGGTGCTGTATACAGTGTTCTCAGGGTGCTATATACAGTGTTCTCAGGGTGGTGTATACTGTGTTCTCAGGGTGGTGTATACTGTGTTCTCAGGGTGCTGTATACTGTGTTCTCAGGGTGCTGTATAAAGTGTTCTCAGGGTGCTGTATACTGTGTTCTCAGGGTGGTGTATACTGTGTTCTCAGGGTGCTGTATACAGTGTTCTCAGGGTGCTGTATACTGTGTTCTCGAGGTGCTGTATACTGTGTTCTCAGGGTGGTGTATACTGTGTTCTCAAGATGCTGTATACTGTGTTCTCAGGGTGGTGTATACTGTGTTCTCAAGATGCTGTATAGTGTGTTCTCAGGGTGGTGTATACTGTGTTCTCAGGGTGCTGTATACTGTGTTCTCAAGATGCTGTATACTGTGTTCTCAAGGTGTTGTATACAGTGTTCTCAGGGTGCTGTATACTGTGTTCTCAAGGTGCTGTATACTGTGTTCTCAAGGTGTTGTATACAGTGTTCTCAGGGTGGTGTATACAGTGTTCTCAGGGTGGTGTATACTGTGTTCTCAGGGTGCTGTATACTGTGTTCTCAAGGTGCTGTATACTGTGTTCTCAAGGTGTTGTATACAGTGTTCTCAGGGTGCTGTATACTGTGTTCTCAAGGTGCTGTATACTGTGTTCTCAAGGTGTTGTATACAGTGTTCTCAGGGTGCTGTATACTGTGTTCTCAAGGTGCTGTATACTGTGTTCTCAAGGTGGTGTATACAGTGTTCTCAGGGTGCTGTATACTGTGTTCTCAAGGTGCTGTATACTGTGTTCTCAAGGTGTTGTATACAGTGTTCTCAGGGTGGTGTATACAGTGTTCTCAGGGTGGTGTATACAGTGTTCTCAGGGTGGTGTATACAGTGTTCTCAGGGTGGTGTATACTGTGTTCTCAGGGTGGTGTATACTGTGTTCTCAGGGTGGTGTATACTGTGTTCTCAGGGTGGTGTATACTGTGTTCTCAGGGTGCTGTATACTGTGTTCTCAGGGTGCTGTATACTGTGTTCAGTAAATTAACTGCAGCTGTGAGGTGACTCGAACCCACAGCCAAGAGTATCCCAGCAGCTGACGATAACTACTGGACCACCTTGACTTGGTATAAGTTATACAACAGGATTTCTACTGAAATCACAAGAAGTCTGACAGCCCCTAAGGAAGCCTGTCCAAGAAATCCGGTTGCATGACTTTGATAAGTCGTTGGTGGTCCAGTGGTAGAGTGTACGGGTGGCACTTTCTGGGTCGCAGGTTCGCATCACCTCTCAGTCTAAGTGGATTTTCTCTTTGATATATATAAATCACTTCAGTGTGTTACATTATGTTAACTGATAAGTCTACTGGTAACATTGTGTGAGCTATTAGGCCATTGCTAACATTGACTGTTAACCCGTAGTTCTCTAGGTGTGGTGTTGCAATGTTAGCAATGATAGTTAACATTGGGTTAACTGTTGAACCCGTTGCTAACAATGGGTTAACTGCTATGTTAACATTAAATGAATGGATTGTTAGGATGTATTTAGTGTAAGTTGTGGAGTTGTTGGTAAGAGTTGTAATGTTGCAGGTACCGCGTGATGCTGGAGTGTTGGCACACCGACCCGCTGGCCAGACCCTCCTTCTCCACCCTTGAACACTCCCTGGGGGAGATGTTGGGCGACACTGAGAAGCAGGTGTGTACCCCTTATACCATACCTGTAGTGTTGTATCATTGTATACCTGTAGTTAGTCCAGCATCATACCATACCTGTAGTGCTGTATCATAGTATACCTGTAGTTAGTCCACCATCATACCATACTGAGACACTGAGAAGCAGGTGTGTACCCCTTATACCATACCTGTAGTGCTGTATCATAGTATACCTGTAGTTAGTCCAGCATTATACCATACCTGTAGTGTAGTGTACCCTGTAGTGTTGTATCATAGTATACCTGTAGTTAGTCCAGCATCATACCATACTGAGACACAGAAGCAGGTGTGTACCCCTTATACCATACCTGTAGTGCTGTATCATAGTATACCTGTAGTTAGTCCAGCATCATACCATACTGAGACACAGAAGCAGGTGTGTACCCCTTATACCATACCTGTAGTGCTGTAGTGTACCCTGTAGTGCTGTAGTGTTGTAGTGTACCCTGTAGTGTTGTAGTGTACCCTGTAGTGCTGTAGTGTACCCTGTAGTGCTGTAGTGTTGTAGTGTACCCTGTAGTGCTGTAGTGTACCCTGTAGTGCTGTAGTGTACCCTGTAGTGTTGTAGTGTACACTGTAGTGTTGTAGTGTACCCTGTAGTGCTGTAGTGTACCCTGTAGTGTTGTAGTGCTGTAGTGTACCCTGTAGTGCTATAGTGTACCCTGTAGTGCTATAGTGTACCCTGTAGTGCTATAGTGTACCCTGTAGTGTAGTAGTGTACCCTGTAGTGCTGTAGTGTACCCTGTAGTGCTGTAGTGTTGTAGTGTACCCTGTAGTGCTATAGTGTACCCTGTAGTGCTATAGTGTACCCTGTAGTGTAGTAGTGTACCCTGTAGTGCTGTAGTCTACCCTGTAGTGTAGTAGTGTACCCTGTAGTGCTGTAGTGTACCCTGTAGTGCTATAGTGTACCCTGTAGTGTAGTAGTGTACCCTGTAGTGCTGTAGTGTACCCTGTAGTGTAGTAGTGTACCCTGTAGTACTATAGTGTACCCTGTAGTGCTGTAGTGTACCCTGTAGTGTAGTAGTGTACCCTGTAGTGTAGTAGTGTACCCTGTAGTGCTGTAGTCTACCCTGTAGTGTAGTAGTGTACCCTGTAGTCTTGTAGTGTACCCTGTAGTGTTGTAGTGTACCCTGTAGTCTTGTAGTGTACCCTGTAGTGTAGGGTACCCTGTAATGTTGTAGTGTACCCTGTAGTGCTGTAGTGTACCCTGTAGTATAGTAGTGTACCCTGTAGTGTTGTAGTGTACCCTGTAGTGTTGTAGTGTACCCTCTAGTGCTGTAGTGTACCCTCTAGTGCTATAGTGTACCCTGTAGTGTTGTAGTGTACCCTGTAGTGTTGTAGTGTACCCTGTAGTGTTGTAGTGTACCCTGTAGTGTTGTAGTGTACCCTCAAGTGCTATAGTGTACCCTGTAGTGTAGTAGTGTACCCTGTAGTGTTGTAGTGTACCCTGTAGTGTTGTAGTGTACCCTGTAGTGTTGTAGTGTACCCTCAAGTGCTATAGTGTACCCTGCAGTGCTGTAGTGTACCCTGTAGTGTTGTAGTGTACCCTGTAGTGTTGTAGTGTACCCTGTAGTGTTGTAGTGTACCCTGTAATGTTGTAGTGTACCCTGTAGTGCTGTAGTGTACCCTCTAGTGCTGTAGTGTACCCTGTAGTGCTGTAGTGTACCCTGTAGTGCTGTAGTGTACCCTGTAGTGTAGGGTACCCTGTAATATTGTAGTGTACCCTGTAGTGCTGTAGTGTACCCTGTAGTGTAGGGTACCCTGTAGTGTTGTAGTGTACCCTGTAGTGTTGTAGTGTACCCTGTAGTGTAGGGTACCCTGTAGTGTTGTAGTGTACCCTGTAGTGCTGTAGTGTACCCTGTAGTGCTGTAGTGTACCCTCTAGTGCTGTAGTGTACCCTGTAGTGTAGGGTACCCTGTAGTGTTGTAGTGTACCCTGTAATGTTGCAGTGTACCCTGTAGTGCTGTAGTGTACCCTGTAGTGTAGGGTACCCTGTAGTATTGTAGTGTACCCTGTAGTGTAGTAGTGTACCCTGTAGTGTTGTAGTGTACCCTGTAGTGTAGTAGTGTACCCTGTAGTGTTGTAGTGTACCCTGTAGTGTAGTAGTGTACCCTGTAGTGTTGTAGTGTACCCTGTAGTGCTAGTGTACCCTCTAGTGCTATAGTGTACCCTGTAGTGTTGTAGTGTACCCTGTAATGTTGTAGTGTACCCTGTAGTGCTGTAGTGTACCCTGTAGTGCTGTAGTGTACCCTGTAGTGTAGGGTACCCTGTAATATTGTAGTGTACCCTGTAGTGCTGTAGTGTACCCTGTAGTGTTGTAGTGTAGGGTACCCTGTAATATTGTAGTGTACCCTGTAGTGTTGTAGTGTACCCTGTAGTGCTATAGTGTACCCTGTAATGTTGTAGTGTACCCTGTAGTGTAGGGTACCCTGTAGTGTTGTAGTGTACCCTGTAGTGTTGTAGTGTAGGGTACCCTGTAATGTTGTAGTGTACCCTGTAGTGCTGTAGTGTACCCTGTAGTGTACCCTGTAGTGCTGTAGTGTACCCTGTAGTGTAGGGTACCCTGTAATGTTGTAGTGTACCCTGTAGTGTTGTAGTGTACCCTGTAGTGCTGTAGTGTTGTAGTGTACCCTGTAGTGTTGTAGTGTACCGTGTAGGGTACCCTGTAGTGCTGTAGTGTACCCTGTAGTGTTGTAGTGTACCCTGTAGTGTTGTAGTGTACCCTGTAGTGCTGTAGTGTACCCTGTAGTGTTGTAGTGTACCCTGTAGTGTTGTAGTGTACCGTGTAGGGTACCCTGTAGTGCTGTAGTGTACCCTGTAGTGCTGTAGTGTACCCTGTAGTGCTGTAGTGTACCCTGTAGTGTTGTAGTGTACCCTGTAGTGTTGTAGTGTACCGTGTAGGGTACCCTGTAGTGCTGTAGTGTACCCTGTAGTGCTGTAGTGTACCCTGTAGTGCTGTAGTGTACCCTGTAGTGTTGTAGTGTACCCTGTAGTGTTGTAGTGTACCGTGTAGAGTACCCTGTAGTGCTGTAGTGTACCCTGTAGTGCTGTAGAGTACCCTGTAGTGTTGTAGTGTACCCTGTAGTGCTGTAGTGTACCCTGTAGTGCTGTAGAGTACCCTGTAGTGTTGTAGTGTACCCTGTAGTGCTGTAGTGTACCCTGTAGTGTAGGGTACCCTGTAATGTTGTAGTGTACCCTGTAGTGCTGTAGTGTACCCTGTTGTGTAGTAGTGTACCCTGTAGTGCTGTAGTGTACCCTGTAGTGTTGTAGTGTACCCTGTAGTGCTGTAGTGTACCCTGTAGTGCTGTAGTGTACCCTGTAGTGCTGTAGTGTACCCTGTAGTGCTGTAGTGTACCCTGTAGTGTAGGGTACCCTGTAGTGCTGTAGTGTACCCTGTAGTGTAGTAGTGTACCCTCTAGTGCTGTAGTGTACCCTGTAGTGTTGTAGTGTACCCTGTAGTGTAGGGTACCCTGTAATGTTGTAGTGTACCCTGTAGTGTAGTAGTCTACCCTCTAGTGCTGTAGTGTACCCTCTAGTGCTGTAGTGTACCCTGTAGTGTAGTAGTGTACCCTGTAGTGTTGTAGTGTACCCTCTAGTGCTGTAGTGTTCCCTGTAGTGTAGTAGTGTACCCTGTAGTGTAGTAGTGTACCCTGTAGTGTAGTAGTGTACCCTGTAGTGTAGTAGTGTACCCTGTAGTGTAGTAGTGTACCCTGTAGTGCTGTAGTGTACCCTGTAGTGCTGTAGTGTACCCTGTAGTGTAGTAGTGTACCCTGTAGTGTTGTAGTGTACCCTGTAGTGTAGTAGTGTACCCTGTAGTGTGGTAGTGTACCCTGTAGTGCTGTAGTGTACCCTCTAGTGCTGTAGTGTACCCTGTAGTGTAGTAGTGTACCCTGTAGTGTGGTAGTGTACCCTGTAGTGCTGTAGTGTACCCTCTAGTGCTGTAGTGTACCCTGTAGTGTAGTAGTGTACCCTGTAGTGCTGTAGTGTTGTAGTGTACCCTGTAGTGCTGTAGTGTACCCTGTAGTGTAGTAGTGTACCCTGTAGTGCTGTAGTGTACCCTGTAGTGTAGTAGTGTACCCTCTAGTGCTGTAGTGTACCCTCTAGTGCTGTAGTGTACCCTGTAGTGTAGTAGTGTACCCTGTAGTGTTGTAGTGTACCCTCTAGTGCTGTAGTGTTCCCTGTAGTGTAGTAGTGTACCCTGTAGTGTAGTAGTGTACCCTGTAGTGTAGTAGTGTACCCTGTAGTGTAGTAGTGTACCCTGTAGTGTTGTAGTGTACCCTGTAGTGTAGTAGTGTACCCTGTAGTGCTGTAGTGTACCCTCTAGTGCTGTAGTGTACCCTATAGTGCTGTAGTGCTGTAGTGTACCCTGTAGTGTAGTAGTGTACCCTGTAGTGTAGTAGTGTACCCTGTAGTGTAGTAGTGTACCCTGTAGTGTTGTAGTGTACCCTGTAGTGTTGTAGTGTACCCTGTAGTGCTGTAGTGTACCCTCTAGTGCTGTAGTGTACCCTGTAGTGTAGTAGTGTACCCTGTAGTGTAGTAGTGTACCCTCTAGTGCTGTAGTGTACCCTGTAGTGCTGTAGTGTACCCTGTAGTGCTGTAGTGTACCCTGTAGTGCAGTAGTGTACCCTGTAGTGTTGTAGTGTACCCTCTAGTGCTGTAGTGTACCCTGTAGTGTAGTAGTGTACCCTGTAGTGCTGTAGTGTACCCTCTAGTGCTGTAGTGTACCCTGTAGTGCTGTAGTGTACCCTGTAGTGCTGTAGTGTACCCTGTAGTGCTGTAGTGTACCCTCTAGTGCTGTAGTGTACCCTCTAGTGCTGTAGTGTACCCTCTAGTGCTATAGTGTACCCTCTAGTGCTATAGTGTACCCTCTAGTGTACCCTCTAGTGCTGTAGTGTACCCTGTAGTGTAGTAGTGTACCCTGTAGTTCTGTAGTGTACCCTGTAGTGCTGTAGTGTACCCTGTAGTGTAGTAGTGTACCCTGTA